TTCCATTTAATAGGGGCTAGTGTTAGTGCTAGAAGTGAGCCTTATATCCTATCTGTCCTATAGGTGATAGCTTTTTGTCTCAAATAATTCAGATTGTTATATTAAAAGTTGTACTTCTGTAAACCACTAACAGCAGTTATAAAGTTTACAAGGAAAATACATAAAAATTGACAAGAACAAAAACATGTAGTTTGTATAATAGCTATAAACCAAGAAGCATAATTTTTATAATCTCAAACCTTTACTTAGTTATATATTACATCCCTTATTTATTTTGAGATCACAGTAATCTTAACAACAAAAAATCTATCTTTTGAACTTAACTTTAAATAAAGTTAAATTTAGCCCTCTTTGGAGTTGTTCTAACATGGAATAAGGTAAGAGGCAGAGTCTTAACACAGATGAGGTGGCCTCTTGACAAGAAAAGTGTTTTATCTCTTAGATGTCATTTTATAAAGTTTTTGTATATTATTTCCTGAGATTATATGAATATCAATTAACACAATGTATCATCTTATCAGGAACATGAATAATAATAATATTTTTTTTAAAAAGCAATTAGAGAGCTCCCAACTTTCTTTTTGGGAAAAGTGGCAAAATGACTTATGTTTCATACTGTCAACAATTAAACAAACCAGGCTCTCCTTATTATCATCTAAAAATACATTAAATTCCCATCCCAGTGTAAGGATTATCAGAAAATTATATACATGTATAATTATTATGATAGTCATTTTTATCTGACTATAAAATAGTAACTGATATAAATAAATAAATAAATAAATAAATTTGTTATTTTTTAAATAAGCCTAAAATAAACTATTATTGTAGACTTTATTTTGGAGAACACCAGCTTAGTAAAATTCTGTAAAAAAGTCTTGTATACTTGGAGGACATAAATATATCTGATATATAAAGAAGCTAGTAACAGAATCACAATTACATTGATGTCCTCAGATTAACCAAGTTTAAGCTTAAAAAATAGAATGTTCAATGTAGTGTAATAATCTAAAAATTAGTTCTATATTCAATTTGATTTGTACAACCCTTAATTCCTCTAAGACTATCTCTCCTAAATAATAGAACCTAAAAGACATAAAAAATTATCCTGCTAGATAAGACCAGACCAATGTTTTAAGAAACTCTTGTTACTTTAACACATACAGAATTAAATTCTGGTTTTTGTTAGCACATTAATATTTGACCTCAGGAAAAACCCTTAAATACATTAACTGATCATGTTCATAACAGCCAACTTAACCACACCCAATTTTTTTGAGATTCATCCTCCAAAATCCTTGCATAACTTACTTGGACATTTTATGACTTGTTTATTTCACCATATGAAATATTTTTTCCTCCAGAAACATTTTTACATTAAAATATATTTCCATACCTTTTATATCTTTTTAGTTGCTGACTCTTAAATTTACCTTTTGGAACAATCCTTATGAAATTTCTAAATTTAGACAAATTACTCCATTTTAATAGCATGAAATTCTTTATATGCTTTTTGCAGTACTTTAATTAAACACAGCTGAAACCTTTTGTTCTCTTTGCACATAGAATTACATGTATTAGAATCTTATCCTTTAGTAACCTTGCTTTAGTGAAGATGCAGAAACAAAGCAATATGAAATTCCCCCTTTTTTTCATTTACCAATTTATAAAAACAATATAATACTAAAGTATATATTATCTTATGGAATTTAAGAAGAGTACCTGAATTAATATTTAGCAATTGATGTTTTACTATTTTAATTTTGAAAATTGATCAAATGTCTCCTCTAACAAACACATTTATGAAAACTAATCCCATTTATGTTTAATCTAGTTTATTCATTTTTAATTGTTAACTTTAGGTTACTCATGAAAACCAAGCTATGAGACAAGTGTAGTTTACAGGTACATGCCATCAGTTTCTGCTAAAGAAAAATTCTAGAAGCAATGGATATTATACTTTAAACATCTTATAGAAAGCAACACTATTGATTGCTTGATCACCTAGAAAAACATGTGGGTTAGTAATCTTAAAGACATCTTTATTCTTATCTGTTTAGCCAATTTAAATTGAACTTTTTCTGAAACGTTTAAGTCATGTGAACTAAAAAACATTTGGATCCATTTACTAAATTTATGAGTACTCATTTAGCTATAAACCAATTTTGATACCATGTACATGATAGATATTATATAGAGACACAACATATAGTACACAGATGCACAGAAATAAACATAAAAACTAACAGGAAACAAAGATTTTACAGCTTCTCCTTGAATAATTGATCTCTGAATAAAGACAGAAGAAGGAAAGACAAAGGACTAAAAACTCAAGTTGGACAAAACAAGACTGATCGGAGCAAAACACTATAAATTTAGATGCACAGGACCAAGTGTGAATGCAACACAGAAACCATGAGCTCAAGACAGAGGTTTTGAAGGAAAAAATGATATGGCCATAATTACTCCCAACCTGCCTTTGTTGTTCTCCAATTCATTTCTAGCTCCTCCCCCAGAAAATAAAATCTGAATATCCTTTTGGCATTGTTTGAACTCCTTCCTTAACTTGGATAGTAAAGGAGACAGAGCAGTGGAGAAGCGGGAGCCACTGCAGCTGGCTCAGATCCCCGCTCTGCCCGACTGTTGGCATCATTTCCAGAGGCAGAAGTCGGGGAGTCTGGGCCTTGAGGAGGCCTAAAGTTTGAGCCAGAAATAGTGAAGGCTTTAGGATAGCTTCCTGAGTCCAAATAAAACAACAGTGTCTATCATATCATGGCTTCTTTTTCCTTTTTATCTTAGGACTCTTTTTAATATTTTAACTTAAGCCCCAGAGAGCTATCTGGGGGTTTTTCAGTGTTTTTCCCCCTGACAGCATCCTCTTTCTCTAGACTAGAGTTTTTTGGTTTTTTTGATTTAATGTAAAGGTGCAACCATCCACCACCACCACCACACCACCAAACTGGTGGTTTCTTGCACTTTTTCCCATGCCGCTCTCCTGCTTATAGTCCTGTGTTTCTGAGTCATGGCTCAATCCCACCTTGTGCCCAACTGCAGCAATGAGGAAAACACTCCAGGAGGTAGAGCATCCCTGATATTCCTGGGCCCATCAGACTCTCCTATCAGGCATTTCCAGAAAATTGCAGAGCTAACCTCTGTGGCTTGGGGCAACACCTAAATTGTTCGAAGGCAGAATGCAGACCTCCTGAGCATCCTTAAAATGTCCAGGACCTGGTCTACCTGGCCTTTCCAGATCCCCTCCATTTGCCTCTCCTATTTTCTAGCATTAGGAAGGAACTTGGCAGAATCCCAGAGCACAAGAACAGATAAAACAGCCATTTATGTCCCACAGCAGCTTGGATTTAAAAGTGACACTTTTTCTCCTCTCTGATCTCAAACTAATTTGGGCACCTGCTCATGTAGCTCTTTACCTAGTGATCCCTCAGAGGGCCACTTACTCCAAATGAAGGCCAATCTATTTCACAGAAGGTCTGAAGTTCTCCAGGAGTCAATTTAGTTCCATAATCTCCAGAGTATCCCCCCCCCCTTAAATTCTTTACCGTACACTCTAGGAGGTGGCCTAACTCTGTTTATCACCCATTTCCTGCCCCCAAAAGATGACAATCACAAGCAAAAAAAAGGGAATGGGGAAGGGGCGAGCAACTGCTCTGTCCATTTCCAGCTGTTTTCCTAGCGGGAATGCCTCTTAACATTGGCAGGTCAGCATAAACTCTGGAGCCAGAGCAGGCCGGTAGAGGAGAGTCTGGCGCTGCCCTAAGCCATATGAGGATCCTCTGGGAATCAAGGATCAGGTCTCTTCACTCGCTTCAGGTTCTTCCAATCTCATTTGGTCCCCCCATTTACTCGAATTCAAACATGTCTTCAGCCCTTAGAGTTGCAGTTTCATCTTGCACAATCAACACTACCTGGGCAGTGATCAGTCTCCCTTTCTGCCATTTAGGAGCAGGTCTACCTCTTGAACCCAGGTTCCCACCTGTCCTGTGGGCGTTGCTCCCTGCACTGGTTCCTGGGACCAGGGTTCCTTTTTGCTCCGAGGGTCCTTGCCCTGGCATACCAGGAGGACTTGTCTCCTACGGATCAGTTGGCTGATGCCAGTCAAGGTCACCTCTCCCAGCATGGGGGGCCCACACCCCAGTGACAATCAACATCTTGGAATCCCAGAGGAGCCGCTAAGAAATGTTGCAGAATTCTCTGCTATCCTTTCCTGCGCTCTGAGAAAACCTCTACCACAGCAGGAGAGTCGGAGAGCATTGTTTTCAGACGGGTTTTCTAATTTGCCCAGTGAAGATCCCAGACTTCAGAAAGCTTCCCCATGGTGTCCCCACACCACTCCCGCTCACACCGAGGCCCGGCCGGCACCCCGTCCTCCCTCCCAGAATCCGAGGAGGGAGGGTGCCAAGTTGGCCACACATCCTAGGGAGCCCGGGCAAGTCCGAGGCCGCGCAGAGGGAGGGACGCCCGGTCGCGGAGTGCGCGCGGGGCAGCTGCCGCCTGGCACCCCACGCGGGCGCAGCCAGGGCGCAGCGAGGGCGCAGCGCGGACGCTCGGGGCTCGGGACTGGCGAACAGCGGCGGGACTCGGGGGGAGGGGCCGCAGCCAACCTCTTTCAAAGTTTCTCGCAGTTGCACAGCTCCCTCCGCTTCCTGTGGGGGTGGGCGCTGCGCCCCGGCTGCTCGGCCGCCCGCCAGCCCGCCTGTTCCCGGCGGAAGGAGGCGGAGAGACGCGAGTCTGGGGCCCGGCAGGGGCGGCGGGGACCCGGGACAGAAAGGCACCGGGCGGGCACGCCCCGGGTCCCGCCTGGGCGCCGGGAGATGGCGCTGCTGAGAGGCGGCGCGGCGAGGACGGGGCAGCGGGACGCGGAAACCAGCGGGGCAAGGCTGGGCCACCCAGCACCTCCCTCCCGGGGCTCATTCGGGCTCGGGCAGCTGCGCCCGAGAAGCCCCAAGCCTCGCCCGCGCGCGCCCGGGCCGCCCGCTACTTACCAGCGGAGCACGCGAGGAGCGCCAGCAGCGCGGGGGACGCGAGGCGGCGGACACGGAGGGCTGGCGGCTGCATCCCGGTCGCTGGGGCTGAGCGTCCTGCCTGGACGCGGGGACCGAGACGCACTGGGAGCAGAGCTGCGCCGCTGCCGCCGCCCTGCCGCCGCGGCTGACCCTTCTCCACCGGCTCCCCTCCTCCCTTCTCGGGCTCCGCCGCGCCGGCTCCGGCCGCGCCCTCTGGTGGCCGGGAGCGGCAGCACCCCGCTGAACGCTGCTGCGGCTGTGTCCCCGACGGGCTGCGGGCACGAGGGGCCCCTTTGCTCCACTAGGCGTCTCACCTCTCCTGCCTCTGCTACCGTCCCTTCTCCCCAACAGCCCTCAGACCAGGCCCCTTCCTCTGCCTTCTCGCCCTCGCACACTTAGCCATCCTCTTGCTTGGGTCCCTAACAGTAGGTCACTACTTTCACCCTGTTACACCCAAAGTGAAGGAGGAGGAATCACTTTTTTTCTTTCTTTTCTTCCTTGCTAATGGACTATCTGCTGTTTTAAAAAAAAAAAAAAAACAATAATTCAACTCTTAATATTGTTGGCAGCAATGTTGTGCTTCGAAGAAAGTGTTTTTAATCAGATCAACTATTTTACTTAATATGAATAACCTTTTTAAAAATGGAATTGGACCCCTGGCTTGGGCCTGGAGTTTGCTTTTAAAAGATGATTGCGTAAAGGTGATTCTCCGGGGCTGTGATTTTAAACGTCCCCCATCATGAAAGAGAAAGGGTTATGATTTTATTCAAAACATCTGCCACAGTCTGGCACTAGCCACTTGTCAAGCAGGAAGGCACGTGCCACACCACCAAGCTCTCCAGGAATTCTCTCAGAGCCCAACTGCCACCACGGGCTCTTCCGGGAGCCTCTCAACCGGTGGTCTTCCCGCCCTTGAGGCCGATTGGCTGGGTCGCATGGGCGGAGCCAAAAGAGTCCCCCAATGAGCAGCTCCGTGGTCTGAAAGGGCGGGGAAATAGCCGAATGAGGCTCACTGCAGAGGAGCCAATCAGCTTAAAGTTTGCTGGGGCCCACTGTGAGCCAATCAGCTGGAATTTCGCTGGGGCCACTTCTGTGGCTCTCAACAAACATCTGATGAAAATAAACTGGAATACAGAGCAGGGGAATGACATCTGTCAGAAAACCTCAATGAGGGAGTCCCTCTGTCTCCAAAGGACTATCAAGTGTCTCCCTTCCCTGCTAGAAGAGTCATAGTCCTAACAGGGGGCTGACCCAGTTATGTTGTATGGTGAACTGAAGAAGGAAAACAGTTACAATGAAGAACTAGGAAACCCCCTTTAACCCTGGGGCCTCCCCCAAACTTTCTCTCATGTGTCTCCAAGTGCACTCCCCTGGCCTATGTTTAGACCTTGACCTCCTGGAGGTACTGTCCCTATGGTCATTCATATTTAATCATATGTTTCAGACATCTTCTATGTGTCTGCCACTCCACTAAGTACCTACTAACCCACAAACCTCAACATTCACCCTTGTTCAACATTAATGAGGGCCTGGGCCCCAGGGGTATAAGTAGGATGTGAGGGAGATAAAGAAGTAGGTGGTAAATGAATGTTTGTTGAGGTGAACCCATAAGCTTGAGTGGCATGAGGGAGTTTAGCTTGAAATTATCATCTGTCCACACAACAGCTGTTGGGTTTTTGTTTGGGTTTGGTTTGTTTCTGAGTTGGGGGTCTCTCTAATTTGCCCAGGCTGGTCTTGAACTTCTGGGTTCAAGTGATTCTTCCACCTTAGCCTCCCACATACTCATACCACAGGCACACACTGCTACCAGCTTTTTGAAAAGGAAATCTGGAGGCAATGAGTTTTTTGTTTATAATGACTCCTTAAAAGTGGGAAGTATTTCCTGTGTTAACTATTTCATGTGAATGCAAGAAGTGACATTCTTTCCCATTCAGCCAAGGTTTGTAGCCCCATGTAAGTAACATTTTGATGGGAGGGAAAAAAAATTATATATGTGTGTGTGTGTGTGTGTGTGTGTGTGTGTGTGTATGTATATATATACATATATATATTATATATATAATTTATAGTTATATACAATTTTTTAGTTATAGATAGACACGCTGTGTTAATTTTGTTTATTTTATTTGGTACTGAAGATTGAACCCCAGTGTCTCACATGTGCCAGGCAAGTTTTCTACCACTGAGCCAAAAATCTCAGCCCTCCATTTTGTTTTTTAGTGAAGCTTTGGTCCTTTTTTTCCTTCTTGAGAAGTGGCAGAGAAAATTCTAAAACTCAATTTGCCTAGTTCAGAGTTCTAGTTTGTTTCCAACTTCAAAGTGGTTGAGCTTTCATCTGAGGAAATATCCCTTGCCTACGTTAGATATTAAACATCTAACCAAGATGTGTTTAGGTAGACACAGAAGCCTGAAAGTAAAGCCAATCTAAACGCCTATTCTGTGTTTGGTAGCAAGTAACTCTGGGAACTTAATCAATGTTTTCATCAATATTCATCAAGATTCAGTATCATTATGTTCTAGAACAAGGTGTGGGAAATTGGGCTCTAAGGACAACAGAGAGCACATTCTTTAAGTAATAAACTTACCCTGTGTTCTCCCCTTCCACAGTAGACATTGATAAACGGCACATTAGGAAGCTCTGTAACTCATGTTGGAGAAAGGATCACTTCCCAGTTACTCTAGGCATATGATAAATGGACGTGCTGGGAGTTCTCTCCCCTATCACAAGTTAAGAAGGGAGTTTCCTGGAGCAAACATGCTCATGAGAACATTAACAGATACACAATAAGGCTCTGCTTGCCTGTAACTCCCAACTGTGAAGGGACAACTTTCAGCAGGAAAAACTAAATCTCATCAATTCTTAAGATTGGGAAATGAAGAAGAGCAGACTATAGCTGTGTTCTTGTGGTTTATTCACCTTAATCCCAGGTGTGTCCCCTCTCTGGCTCCTGGGAATACACCACTTCCCAGACAGTGGAGGAAGCAGGCTGCTGCCTCTTTGGGGGAACCCTAAAGTAACATAATCAAATCAGCCTCGCAGCTTTTAAGGTAATTTTATAAATGCAAAAGGAGAACATAAAGACATATTCATTATGTCATTGAGAGCCAAATAATCTAATTATCAAGTTTCATATGGATGGTTTCTGTCTTTATAACAACTTTACTTTGGGCCCAAAAGGCAGAACTCCAGCCAATCAACTGATGGTGAACTCCTGGTTGACATGCCCATTGACAGGCTGTAGGGCAGGTAGAGAGAAGTGCAAAACATGATACTGAGCCTCAGAACTCATAGTCCATTTGGGGAGACAAAATGTTCATAACTGACTTTTTACTGCTGTGCAGTAATGCTATAGCACAGGTGGATGGGAACACTTTGGAACACAAAGAAGAAAAATGAGTCTATCAGGTGCTTTGGAATGGATCAGAAAAGTCGAAGTGACATTAGTGCAAGGTCTTCAAGGAGAGATAGTGGGTGTCTGGGCTGAGGAAAAAAAAAAAATGAAGGGATCCAGTTCCAGGCACAGGCCCAGTAAGCACATGGCAAATCAGCCCAAAGCAGCACAGTGGGCTGGAGGAGGGGCAGCAGAGTGGCTTCTTGGTTGGCTCCCACCTGTGACTTGGAAGGAGCACCCTGCGCATCCTATTCCCATTCTAACAAAGACTGAGAACCTGGTTCCAACTCTCCCACCCTCTTGGGACCTTGTCACTTAGTTTCAGACTTAAAGCAAATTAGAAATAGAGATATTCCAGAACTATTCTCTTCCCACAGTGGGGAGTGGTTTTATAAATCACAAGTGATCTTGGGGATTGTTTCCCAAATCTAAAATAAGGCCTAGAGTCTGACAGTGGAATATATTGCCTAAAACTGTCTTCCTAGGGCTTAAGATCATGTGGGAGACCAACCTTATACATGACTGAGTACACTCCCTGGCTGGATGCTGAGGCGATCAGTTGCAGAAATGTGGCAGAACTTTTCCCACCCTTCTTGGGTTCAAAGGTCGTTGTCTCGTGCATGGGTATATATGGCTATAGCCCCATGGGTGAGGCTTTGCTCACCTGTTCCTTTGTAATATAACCCCTTGCCCTGTTTAGGATAGAATCTTCCATGCAAGTGCCTTGTGTGTGTCCCCTTCTCTTACTGTGCCCTTGGGTGTGGCCTACCCAGGTGTCAGTCAACCTGCTGACAGTGGACATCATGAAGATACTCAGCCCCCTGAAACCTGACCCCTTGCCTCATTTGAATAGCTTCTCCTCAATAAAAGGGGTCAGCGCATGCTCTTGCTCTCTCTCTTTCTGTGGACTCTTAAGGTCAGAGGAGCCATCATAGCGACCCCAAAGAAAAAGTTATTTGTGTCTCTTGCGTGGTTATTTCATGCTGCCCACTTACCCCAGTTTATCTGGAGTGACCCCTGAGCCTTTTAGCTTCAAGAACAAAACCCAGCAAGTCATTATGATTCCAGACCCGCAATGCAGAACTTCAACCCTGGGCTAACCATCCCCTCACCCCCAGAATTTGCACCCTGGACAACAGGAGAGTAACTGATCATTTCACCTGATGCATTAACCTTTAAGGAAACAGGGGGATCTTTATCTTCCATAGAGGAAGAGTGAGTTAGGAAGAAAAGAGACCAAGCAAAAACTCCTATCACTCCTAGCAAATCCAGGTTCCATAACCTCCTGCAGGTGCTGAGAAAAATAATTTGATGACTTAAAGGAGTATTCTTCAGTGACTTCAAGGAGCTTGGTTCATTTTGTTTCCAAAGCTATTAAGAAATTATAGGCAAAACCCATTGTCGAAACAGATTTTCAACTAAGATTTTTACCCTGAGGCTTAACTGAGGAACTTCCAGACTATCAACCCTGAACCAAGTCCAGGAAATAAAACACAGGTTACACCACCACAGCAGGCCTTCGGGACAAGCCCAGAAACCTGAATTCATCAAAATTTGGTTTTCCATTCTTTGAAAGGCAGTGAATAGTGTGCAGCCCCTCTGTGAGAAGAAACGATCGCCTAGAAGCTTGTGGTCAGAAGTAGATGATCTACTTGGCCATTTTGTTCTCTCCTCTAGAGCCAGGCATCTTCTTGAAGGTAAGAAATCACTCAGAGCAGGTGTATCAACAAAGCCATAGGAAGGAACTGTCTGCATGTGACTTTGTCAAGAAGAGAAGGGTGGGGCATGACCTCT